TCTTAACTTCTGGATTTAGGGTATAACTTTAAAATCCTTATCTAGGTTTTGGCTGTTTGTTTGTGTTAGAAGAATGTGTGTGGGGAGGCCAGGGTGTTGCATAAACACACATCACACATGTACACACTGGTATATTCCTAAAATTTTTAATGTATGCAGGACACTAATTCATTCCACAAACATTTATTGAGACCCTGCCATATGTCAACATTTTGAATGGAAGACCTTTCTCTTCCCTGTTCTAAAGAGGTTCATGACTACTGGGAGAAAGTGTCAAACCAAAACATGAATAGCAGAAGTGTTACAAGTTCTATGTAAGGAGAACCTAATACAACATGGGTGAGCGAATAAAGACAGATTTTCCAGAAGAAGCAGTGCTTGAACTGAATGCTAAAGAACAGTAGGAGTTTATCAGGGTTGTGGGAGTGGGCTTGGTTCTTAAACCCATTTATTCTCTTCCTCTGTTGGGGAGCTATGAACCAAAAGGATTAGTAGCCATATGAGAAATAAAATGCCACCTTCTTTAAGTACCCCATGCTTTGTTAAAGCTTGATTGGAGAGTACTGCTTTGTCCCAAGGCTAAAGTAGTTTCCTGTATCTCTATATCTATATCTTATATATAACTGGCTCTGTAGGGGCAGACTCTGGGTGTACTTAACCAAGTAGTTGCGTTGGCAGGATGGCTAAGCATTTTACATGTTTTACTTAATCTTTCCAATATCCTATAAGATAGGAACTTCAATTATCCTTATTTCACAGATGAGAAATTGAAGCACAAAAAGGGTAAGAACTTGCTCTCAATCACATAGATAAGCTAGTAAGTGGTTGAGACATGACTCAAACCCATTAATCCTACTTTGAGATTTTTTTCCTCGTGAAATCACCTGAAAATTGGGGGAGCAGTAACTTTACCCATAAGAGAGACACTTTGTACCAATATGTGTCCCCTCTTTTTTTGACATGTTGGTATTTTCATGCTGCTCTCACTGCTTGAAAACCTTTCTCACCTTTTCTGACTTGGATCGGGGGCCATTTCTCTCAAGAAGCATTTTCTAACCTTTTTTCAAATTTCATCTCCCCATGCCTAATTTCTTTCCACCACCTTCCAGACTGGTTGTCTGGAAGGTATTTCATAGCATCTACTTAACCAAAATTTTTCTCAAGTATTCTGGCTGTATGTCTTTTTCTCCTGACTAGTCCTACTGCTGATTGACAGCAGGGACTATGTCTATTTTAGTTTTGTATCCCTAGTGCATAGTACAATGCCACATTAGACTTTTTCCTTTCCTTATTAAAAGCATTTTCTTCTTTCACAAAGTCTTTTCAAATTAGCATAATTTCATTGCTGTAATCATTATAAATATGGTGACCAACAATTAAAATTCAGGTGTTGCCTATATGATGATATTAAGAGATGAGGACTTTAAGAGGTGATTATGCTATGAAGGCTCCTTTTTCCTTAATGGGATTAAAAGGCCTTTATAAAAGAGGTTTTGTAAAGCATTTGGTTAGCTTGCCCTTCTACCTTCTGCCACATGAAGACATAGCAAGAAGGCCCTTATCAGACCAAACGC